GTTTGCTTGACCCATCCATCTTTCTTGCTCTTAATCCTGTGGTAGTTGCCTTCGCCATCAAAATAGCTGCTGTTCGGTGTGTGTCATACCGCCGTGAAGAGTGTCTTGGTGTGTTGGTGTTTTACGCAAAGATCGCTGACAGAGCAGTGATATTTAACAAATTCAGCTGTGGCCAGAGGCATCAGAAATGGCAGATGCCACGAAAGGTTGCCGATCAGTGGCGTAAAGTAGTTAAGATGGGCCCCAGTGCACGCCATTGTGCACATCTCGTCTTGTCACATAATCAGAGACTTGACATAGGATGACATCAACATACATATTACCCAGCGATCTTCATTGTATATCTGTATATAAGGCAAATAGATGATAGATAGATATAGATGCTATTGACTGCACATTTTTTATTTAATGAGAGTTCTTCTTTGAACACAGGCATATTGTCAAGATGGCAGTCACTCTTAAGGGCTCATTCTCCATTCAATGCATTGCTGGAGGGCCCACTCTCTCCATGCACCCCCAACCCCACCACTGCCTGCACTGTCTATATTTACACCCTTGGTGCCTATACATCAATATCCGATCCCAAAATCACTGACAAAGCGGCGGTATTTGACAAGTTGGGAGTGAGAACGAGCTGGACACCTTTCCCCTTAGCACAAAGAATAAAAAGTATGTTATTTAAATGTGTACCACAAACTAATTCATGTCCACTCATTTCCTGAATCAACAAACATTAATGCTCCACTTTGTTTGAACCAGTCCAACAGCATCCAATCAAGTTGCAGCAGAGGACCATGAAGAACAAACATTATCTCACTGAGCAGCAGTTTGAAAAAAAAAAAAAAAAAGAGATACCAAAGATCATTTCATTTATGTACAAAAACTATGTGGTGGTCAACAAAAAATGCATTGAAAATTACGGATGCACAAAGAACGGTAATTACTTACTAATTAACTTAGATTCACTGTATTTCGGACATCACAGCATTTCAGACACTTGACCTTTTGATGTACAGTATTTAAATAAAAAAATCCAGGTCACATACGAAATATATATCAGTGTCATCATTTTCCCCTCATTTTTCCTCTTTTGACCATCCAGGAAGCATCTACTGTATTCATTTGAGAGATATCACAGTGAGTTTCCAATGTGCACCTGTGGCTTATCAACATGGCCGGTGGAGAGGATTTTGAGACTGGAAGCACAATACAGGAGAGCCTGTATTGTCAAAATACTATTTTTTAGGGTGTTTTTTTTTTATTGTGATAACGCTCAATAAGTATAAAGAAATATCTTAAATGGCCATACAGTGTTTGAGGTCGCACATTTTATAAAGTAATTCTACCTTACCTATGACAGATTGCTAAAAAAAAATAGAGAATAACCACTGTGTGTTTTGAAACAAATATAAAGTAGCCTATGCAAGCAAGTGTCCAAAATACAGTGAGTACAGTAAGAGAGCTATTGCTAAACTAACATTACCTCAACAGCTATGTAGCCAAACTCTGCAACAAACTTGTTTTAACAAATAAATATGAATTTTAAAAAGCATCCATGATTTTACTTACTCTACTCTATTACTTACTCTGTTGTTAAAATGGCATAACATTTGACAAAGAGTTCATTTTGACTTGTTTAGGGCTCAAAAGTCAAAGTTTGACTTGGGACTTGCTTGTGACGTACAAAACAATGACTTGGTCCCACGTCTGTTATTTACTAAAGTATTGATTACTGTCATGTTAGTCTGACATGATGTTTTCCACAGGTGCCTCTTTTGACTTTCTACAGTGATTTAGTTTAACGTCTTGGCAGCTCTTGTCTCAGCGCCGCAGAATGTCTATGAGCACTAAGGAACTGCCTGTTCCTTTTCAACCTGTTGTCGGTACAAATTTGCAAAGCAGTTTCTACACACAGCTTTTTTTCCCCTTCTTTTTTTTTCAACCTTTCGCTTAAGTCATCAGCTCTTTGCACGTCAAGGTGAGTTGTCTTTTCAAAAATACCACAGATCAGGTAAAGAGGTCCAGGGGGAAGAAAGTTAAATAAAAAGCTCTTTAAAATGGTATTCATAAAGAAAAAGACAAACAATGTACTTGTTGAAAATAAAAGCGCACACAGAAATCCATTCTGATGACAGTTGGAAGAATGCAGGCTTTATGGGGGACTTGAGCCCCATCTTTGCCATATCTTTTAAGCATGATTATTTACTTAAAACAACAAACCCAAAGCCCAAAGTCTGGCATTGTGGACGACAGGCCTTTGATTGAGCTCTGAGCTTGAATTCTTAACTAATAAATTGTTCCACGCCTTTGTCTGGGGCATTAACAGCAGTGGTCTGCGTTTTTCTTGCCCTAATCTCAAGAATGCAGCAGCCTCTTGAGAAGCTCAGGGGTTTCCTCCTCTCCCAGAGCCAGGTCTTCACTTTGTTTTCTTAGAGGACTCCCTGGATTGACAGGCCTCACCGTTAGCCCTCTCCTCGGCCATCTGTTTTCACCGATTCTGACTGAACACATCAAAGTCAATCAAGGCTGCAAAGCATTTTAAAAGTCCCACACCCCCGCGCTGTGTGTGAGAAATAAAGCAAACTTTTCATCAGGCTCACAAAAAGAGACGGTTTGGACTGTGTGTTTGTGTGTATGGTTTTCCATGTAAGGGTGACCTGGGAGGGATCCCTTAGCTCACAGCACAGGTATGAGCAGCTTAGCTTTGTTCAGTGCCTGCTCTGACGACAGCTTGGTGAGTCACCTAGACACATAGACTAACCTCCTTTGGTCAGGTTCCAACTATTCACTGACAACTCCCTGACAATAAAATAATCATTAGTGAGACTGAGACACAGCACATAGTTTTCAAAGAGCAAAATTGTCTTCGTATGGTGATAGAAGGGGATAAACCTCGAAAACTTTGTCAATGTAAAACTACCAGCGGTGGTGGAGGACATATTCAGATCCTTTACTTAAATAAAAATAGCAGAACACCTGTGTAAAAAATACTTCATTACAGTTAAAAGGTTGCATCTAACTCACACATCAGAAATAAAAGTGTTTATTATGCAGCAGAATGTTGTTTGATTGTTTGATTATTATCACTGATGGATGAATAAGGTAACAAAATTAAAGATTTATTTATTCTGTTGGTTAATTTAATCAACAACTAATCTTATCAACAATAATATCATATAAACTAATCTACAATCTAAATTATTTATGTGCAAAGTAACTAGCAACTAGCTGTCAGGTAAATGTTGTGAGGTAAAAGGTGCAATATAGCTCTCTGAATAACAGTGGAGTAACAGTATGAAGTAAGTCGTAAACAGTACAAATATCTCAAACTTGTAATTGTAATTAAGTGTTTTTAATGGTTTATTTAGTGGTTCTCAACCTTTTTAATGCCAAGGATCCCTATATTGATACACTTTATGGTGACGGACCTACATATGATAAGATTTCGCCTCAGGGACCTCTATCTGAAAAGATTTTGGTTGTTAGGTATGATTAAGAATTCCAGTTTTTAATTCTTCTAACCGTGAAGTAAGTGTATCCTACAATCAAAATAGCCACTCTTATGACTCTTACTCACATGTTCCTTTAAAGTTCTGTTAATCACATACAAGGCTCTTAATGATCTGGCACCAGAGCTTCTCACACCATACACTCCACCCAGGCCCCTCAGGTCTGCTGGCCTGGGTCTTCTAACTGTTTCAGACGCCAGGTTAAAGACAAAGAGTGATCGAGCCTTTCCAGTTCTTGGTCCTCAGCTTTGGAGCAGCCTCCCACTGAGCATCAGATCAGCCGACTCTGTTCACATCCTTATATCTCGTCTGAAAACTTAATTTTACAGTTTTCCCTTTCCTAACAGTTGATAGACATATCGTGTGTATGGGTGTATGTATTTGCAGCCACAACCTACACTTTTGGACTTTGTGCTCTACAAATAAAGTCGTTATTATTATTATTATAAGGCTTACTTCTATAGTGAATTGAATAATTAAATAAACTATTCCCCATTTTTGGGACCCCCTGGAATTCCTAGGACCCTGGTTAAAAAGGGAGGGAGGTAAAGACAAGGAAAATATTGCAGAAGGAACAGTCACAACGCTCAAGGAACCATACTTTGGTGTCAGTCCTATTGGAGTCAATGGGGCAGGATCTGCAAATCACTCTTATACCCATCATCATGGCTCTGTCCAGCAGATTCTGAGATGCAGCTGCTGGACTGAGCCCTGATCTGTTTGGAGACCAATGACAAGGGAAACAAACATGCATATTTAAATAGAATATGTCAGGTCAACATCATGCAATGTGTGTTTTTGAATTTGGTGAAAGAATTATTCAGTCAAAATTGAAAGAACAAAGATATGATGGGTTTAAGTGTAATTTGCTGTGCCCACCCCATTGACTCCAGTAGAACTGACACCCAAGTCTGGCTCCCCGAACACTGCCACTGTCATCATGACCATTCCTTCTACTTTTTCCTTGGACAAAGAAAGGAATGGAAGTTTGCGGTGTTGATACTCTCTTGTTTTTTCTCTCCTTGCAGATTTTTATTTTCAATATATGAGAAAATTATACAAGATATCCAGTGGCATAAGGTAGCTACGATGGGTCCCAGTGCACCCTAGTTACTGGTTATGAAGCACACACTGAGTTTTAGGCTTATATTTTACCAACAGTGTGTCTTACTCCTGCTTTTATGTTATAACTGCTTGCAGATGTGTTCATCTTGTCAGTCTTGAGTTTTATGCACTTAAACTAGCTACTGTAAATTGAAAAAAACTGATCTGACAGAAACCTGATATTGACATTAACAAGCAGCATAACAACGTGTATCCCCATTCCAATGTTTTGTTTCGTGTAAATTAAATTTAGAAAATTAAAGAAATGAAAGAAAAATATAATCATGTACAGTACTTGAGTAAATGCACTTAGTTACATTCCACAACTATTTGAATATACATCCAGGTTTCATCTCAGCCAATCAGAGCCAGCGATGATGCTCTGGCATGGAGAGGAGGCGGGCCTTGACTGGTTACCTGGTAACCACTGAAACACTTCACTGATAGGATGGCAATGCGCAAGGTTTGGATTTTAGCTTATTTTCAGCCCATTTTATTAATTCGTTTACGTATTAAAATAAAAACAATGTCGCATACATCGTCAGGGTTTTCTCTTTTACCTATATTTAAGCTTTAGACTTTGTTCGACGTCATATTTGAAACTAAAAATTCGAAGTTGGGTTGTCTGTTTGGCACCTGCTAGCTTAATTAGCAAACACCTGTGTGCACTGAGCTCCACACGGTTCCGCTTACATTGAGAACAACCAACGTACTCTCTAATTTATGAGTAAACTGAGGTTAGACTTACTATCTTTTAGTGAAAGCAGAAGCCAGCTTTTTGTGTCGGTTTTAAAAAGTAATTTCTTTGACACACTCGTTGCTGCATTAGTGAATTATCTTTGGCAATTAGAGCATTTTCCATTTGGCCGTGCGGTGATTTATTCTTCCATTTTGCTATTATTGTGTCTAGACAGTATGGTTCAGGATGCATTTATTTGTATTTATTGCTTATCCTGGTCGGAGATAAATACTAATACTATTTGCTACTGTGCAGCACTTTATGTAAATACAGTGATGAGCTTTTATATCATATTTTACAGGGTCTGGCATCTAAAGCCAGCAACAAGTTGGTGATCACCTCAGTTGCCTTTCAAGATCACATCACACGCAGCCTGCTGCATCCAGATTTCCCACTTTCTGACCCTTTGCTGAGATGCAGAAGAAAAGCACCTAGAAAAAGAGTGGAGGAAAGGACACTGCGGGCACAGGATCACCAAGACGACAGGGAATATGTGCTTGATTCTGCTCCACCTCCTTTAACATTAGGTAAAAGGAACACACATTTTTGGAGAGGCTTTATTTATGTGACTTATGAATATATATATTTTTTTGTGTTTCTTTTAGCTCAGAAGTTGGGTTTGGTGGCCTCCCCTGCAGGGAGACTGACAGAGGACGAATGGACTCAGGTCAAGGCGAGGTCTGTTCAGCAGGGGGACTCAGCTCAGCCCTGTGCAGTATGCAGGGAGGAGTTTCGCCTTCATCCTCAGGTATTCCCCCAACACAGTAGCTACTTTTAATACTCTGTGAGAGACCTCTTTCTTCTTACATGTTTCCAATGTTCTGTCTGTCCTCAGGGAAACCTGTGTTTCCGTATACACACATGGGCACACACACACACACAAAGCCACCCCCAACCACCACCTCCCCCTGCAGTTCCTGTATGTTCTAATCTGTGTAGACAACTGTACAAATTTACCCATACTGCCTTGGAACTCAACTGTGACGTGATGATGTAGCAATCAGTGTGTTACTGTGAGGGTCATTCAGTCTTTTACACCTTTCCGATCCCCTTTTAAGATGCCAATCTCCTCAAGAATGCAGGACTAGAATAGGCGGCCTCACAAAGCACAGTTGCCATAGATGCACGTGTAAATATTAGTTTGACTCAGGGAGGGAAAAAAAAGTTAATTAGAGCCTGCTAACAAGGGAAAGTGACAGGAGGGAATCTTTGTTGATTTGGCATTTTCCTGCAAGCCTTCATATTGTAACAATGCGTTTGTGTGCCGCAGTCTTGTGTTGCATTCACGCATTAATATGACAATTAAAAATGCTTACAGCAGCAGTTGTGTGATGTGATGTCAGATGTGTGGACTGAAATAGTCGCTTCTCTGTCCAGTTTATATCATATTAAAACTGGAAATATTTTACAACAGGACATGATTTAAAAGAAACATGTTCCTCTGCTTTCTATTACTCTTTCATTCCATTTCTATATTGTGTGTGTGTCCATAAACTGTAGCATGTACCCTTAAAGCATTGTGAGAGGTGAAATTTCTCAGTGGTCTAATGGCTTGTCGAGCTCCTGGAAATTGTACACTGCAGGGGGCCCTTTCACTGGTGATGGAGTGTGTTGGTCAGGCCAAAAACAATGGGAAATCAATACGCCTCCCCCCTGCCCTCTAGAGATCTGAGTAAACTGGTTTGTGTGCCAAGCCCCATAGCTGTGGCTGTCTCCTTTCAGGCGATAAAAGAGTCGCTCTCACAGGTAGAAGAGACTATAGTCCAGGTCCCAGCCAGCCCACTGGGGGTCCTGCTGACTCCCTCTATCCTCTCAGCAAATAACACTTAAAGGCAGATACACACATTCACATACGTGCATGAATACACACAGATTTAACATGGCTTAAGGCTCACACACACACACACAGCATGTGCACAGACTGTATACTGTATAAGAGCTTTTTCTAAGCACTTTAAGAAAACCTGAAAACCAATACACATTCAGCAGTGTCCTCTGGGGACATTTCAACCCATATAGTCAGTCAATCTATGAAATCTGTTAACTGCAAGATAGCTTTATATGTTTATTCTTTTTTATTGCATTCATTTCACATATACTAAATCATTTTGTCATTTTTTTTTCTTTTTAGGTGTTGTTGTCTTGCTCTCATGTTTTTCATAGAGCATGTTTGCAAGCCTTTGAGAGGTTTTCTGGGAGGAAGTGCTGCCCAATGTGCAGAAAGGAGCAGTATGAGACACGGGTGATTCACGATGCAGCTCGCCTCTTCAGACACCAGTCTGCCACCAAGTACGTGCTCTAAATTAATTTGGGAAAAAAATACATGAAATACTTTGTGTTTCAATAATTGTATAGAACACCCCTGTTCACACTGAGGCACAAAAAGAATTCATCACACTATCTTATCAAGTGACTTTGGCAAAACAACATCTCTCATCTAGCACCAAAGGAAGAAACACCCCCCAATGCTAAAATTTGTTTTATGCATTAAATATACTCATTACCCCATACTTGAAACAATTCAATGGCTGTAAAATATTTAATAATTGTTTTGTTTGTTTTTTTTTGGCACATTTTCGCATGAGTGAAGTCAATCTGCTTTACGTTAAATAGAACCAAGGTATTTTTCAAGGCCTGTGTCCTCATAGCATTTTTTTTTCTCAGCGCCAACGTCTTTTGTCAGTTGTTCCCAATGAGGAAAGAGTACATGCGGCCACATGCGGTTGCCTAGAAAAAAAAGTGCTGTACCCAGCGTCTTTTTTCAGAGCGCTCCGCCTTTTTTGTGTGCTTGCTCCAAGCGCTTCTAGTTGAAAGTCTCTCTTTTTAGATAGGTGCTAGTGATGTCACTGTCACTTCTTTAGCTAGGTTACCGTCTACAGTCACATAAGTGACAGAAAAGCTCATTTTTGGGAGCAGATCGGCCGGGAAACACTGGATGTTGTTCATGAGTGTTGTGCTTTTATCACCATTCACTTAGTAAACTTAATGTTGACTGTGTAGTCAACCCTCTGTAATGTAGCATCAAGTTAGCTACCTAGCTTATGTTAGTGTCAAGATATTGTTGTCATAGAAACATACCCATGCAGAGCATGTCATTAAAAAAAGCGCTGGGATGAAGTGCTCCATAGCACCCTGCCACCACTTTTCTGCTGTAGAAAAACACTATGTGGACACAGACCATAAGTGACTAATGGAGACAACTGTTTTTGCAATTGGTCCAGTATTGAGAAAGACTGCAGCGGCGAAACAGGCTGCAATGTAATCCCTGCGGGCAATTGTGCACCGTCAATTTATGTCCATTAAAAGTACTTTTTTGCCACTGACAGGCTCAGATTGTTACTAGAAGTGTCTGGCATCATTATGGAAAGAACCCGACAGCGAAATGAAATGTTTTTCCTGACTCATCACTTGTCTGCTCATTATTGTGACCATGTCTCGTACAAGGATATGTCCCGTTCTGAAATCTCATGACTTGTTGCAGAATAAACATCGAAGGAAACGTTAGTAAGAGTTGGACAGAGGAGTGCTGGGAAGAGTTTCTTGTGTTGGAGTACAGAAAGCCTAGCTTAGTGTTATCTAAAAGATTTTCTTCATCATGACTAAATATATTTAGCAGATTTTGACAATGTGGAAAGGTCTGCAGGATTTCAGAACAAGATTTCTCCTTGAGCAAGACTTGGTTGCACACACGAACAAAGAGGGAAAGGTAAGGAAAAACGTTTAATTTCTCTGCAGGGTCTTTTACATAATGTTGTCAGACTCATATAAAAAGAGTATGAGCCTGTCAGTGGCAAAAACAGTCACTTTCAGTACCCATAAATTGAAGATGCACGATTGCCCATAGGGGTTACATAGCAGCCTGTTTTACTGCTGCAGCTACAGTGGTCTCTGGACCAGTGGTACTGGACCAATTTCAAAAATTGTCATCTCCATTAGTCACTTAGACACAAAAACATGGGAAATAGAGTACAGGTTAGAAAATACCAAAGTTTCCTTTAAACACTGGAGGCATGATCAAATTGACTGGATCATAGTTGCACATGCAAAAAATTTCTATTTATAAAATGTATGTTGCTTGTACCCAAGCTATCTATGTACTGTAGATGGCAATCTACATTGGGATACACTGAGTCACACTTGCTGTTGTAGCTTGGTTTAGGTTTTACATGTGACAAATAACGTCATTTTATTTTCAAGGAATTGATTGGCACTACCAAGAAGCTCATAGCTTCACATAAAAATAGCAATCAATACATTTTTGAGACAGTTTTGAGTGACTTTTTGAATATGTTTTGTGTGTTCATGCATGTGCGTAGGATTCAAGCATGCTGGCGAGGCTATGCTGCTCGAAAAAGATACAGAAAATTGAGAAAATCCATTTGCCCAAAGGACAAACAACTACGACGGAAATTCTTTGAAGCGAAGGTGAGTTTGGACGTCAAATCTGCAGTCATCACATCAAGGTCTTATAGATTAATCATGCTTATTTGGATCACACTTAACATACCACATAAGGTCACACTGCCCATCATCTGTCTCCTCAAGTCTCTGTTTTTTTTTTCTACTGTGACGTTTTGAGACTGTTTAGTTGGTCAAACAAAGCCTGTGACGAACATCACATCTCGAGAGTTGAGACATGGGTTTCAGGGACTCACTGACCCCACTGCTTACCTAAATACACACGCACGCACGCACGCACACACCTTCACCTGCTCTCACCCTCTCAAGTTCCTTTGATGCTTTGTGAATCATACACTGTTTGTCCACTAATTTGGAGAGAGTTTTGTGTTTTAGTCAAACATTCTGGACATTCCAGGGTCAACACAAAAGCCTTATGTCTCCTGTTTGGGGTTCTGGTATTCCTTCATCTACCTATATATGTCTGGTGTGTGTGTGTGTGTGTGTGTGTGTGTGTGTGTGTGTAGCAGGGTACTGGGTTAGATGAGAATGGGTGAAGAGGTGAGGTTGACCAGGGCGCTTGGATTCCTGATGCAGGTTGTCATTTCAAGCTTTGTTCACTAGTCCCATTTCAAAGCTATAAATCATGCAGTGACTGGACTTGATGGAGGGATTATTTAAAGGTGGTCTAGAGAGCAGCCAGTGGAAGGGGTCGTTTGACTCCGAGGCTGTGTTGCCTTCATGGTGGCTCACAGGAAAAGGGAACATTGCCACCTAGTGAACCTCCCCCAACTGAGGCCTTGGATGACCAAAGACGAGACCTGTCACCATTTCTTTCAACCAAACACCACTTATTCAGGGATGCAGGAAATTCCTTGTACAAATTCATCTAATAACCCTGCTTAGAAATAGTCATAGCTTCAACAGATGCACTCTATGTCCAATGTCTTTAAGAACAGGCCCTGTTTATTTCCACGTGGAGTGTTGTAATCACGCAGAGTGCTCCTGCGCTTCAAAGAGGCTGATTAAGCACAAGTGACAAATGTGTGAGGGCCACACTCATAATGTGTTGCAAGGGTCGGAGTGTCCTACCCATCCCCCTGTCAGTCTCTGTCATCTCGCCTATAAACCATGCCTTAACATGTCACGTAAACAAAGACTCTGCATTTACCGAACCGATTAACTCTGTTCTCACACATTAGGCCATGTCCGGGTCCACATGGAGTCATAGACGCTGTCAGACACTTTACATTCAAGTTGTGTGATTCAGTGGTTGTGGGTGGTCATGAGATTGTCTCATATCTTTTGTCACACTGAGGATGATCTTCAAGAGCCGTGAGCTGCGCAACACAGCGCTGACAGGTCTGATTGACTTGATTTTCAAGGGGAAGACTTATTTGCTTAGCTGACTGTAATGCAAACAGGCGTGTTAGTGCTGGGCTGGAACCTGTGCGAGACGGAAAAACCTATTCTTTCAGTTTTACTTGTGATAGCAGGAGGCCATAAAGCATCTTTGTACCACGAAGCCACAGGTGTTCCTTGGAAAGAAAAAAAAAAAACTCCCACATATCGGGTCAATTTCAGAAATGTTATCAGCTGATCCTGATGCCCAGCTTTCAATTTTTACTCACCTCTTAGGTCCGACCTTGAGTCAACACATTAAGGGGGACACTACCGACATCTAGATGGATTGCTGTGAGATAACACCTCTGCGCTCCACCTCCTCTTCCCTCTCTGTGTCCTCTCCTGTCCTCATCTCCTGTAGAGCAAGGCAAAGTTCACCACAGGCTGTACTGTTTGCCTTGATTGTCGAAAAGTCAGCCCCGCTCATAAAAGCCTTCGTCCTAGTGGTCAGCAGTTGTTTAATTAGTGATAAAAGCCTTGCTGTAAAGCAATTCTAATGTCACTATGACGGGCTAAAGGATGGGGTTTGTTGTTGTATGTGTGTGTAGGTGTGTCACAGACAGAGAGAACAAGTGCGTGTATGCAAACAGGTGCTGAGGCTAATGCTACTGGAGTAACATGGTGCAGTTTGTTTTCCCAGATGTAGTGTAGAGCTGCATTTGTTTGTTGACAAATTATTGGCAGCTGTTTTGATAACTTAAGTAATTTTTTACACAAAAATGCCAGACATTGCCGAATTACAACTTCTCAACTGTGACGTTTAGAAATGTTTCAATACCATCTTTGCCTTCCTATAATACTGACTCTGTCACCTGAACCTGCACATTGAACAGCTGTTGACTACTGACCCTGAAACTAAAGCTTTGCATGCTGTACATGCTACCTTATCATGGGTGGGACGTTCCTATCCAAATATTGCCAATACTGCTGACATCTTGCTAATGGCTAACATTAAACTATCATATCAATTATTTTCGCTGCTCTAAGACAGTAGTTGCCAGTGCCTGGCGTTTTAAAGCAAAGAAGAATTGGTTTCTGTGAAAACTGCCTTTTTATCCAGGTGTGCACTACTTTTAACAATGGCACTCGGTCTGCATACTTTCATCAACGAAATATTAATCGTCTTCGCCCATCACTTACACTACGGAGTGCTGCTATCCTTGTTTATTCTTCGTTTACATCCCGTATTGATTATTGCAATTCTGCCCTGTCTGAAAACACACCTTTTCAAGCTGGCATATTCGGTCTAATTTAATGGAGACACACATATGGTGACCTGCACTGATGATGACTTTATGATCATTTTGTACCTAATATTTATAATTAAGATTTTTGCTAGTCATTTTATTAAGTTTTATTGTATAGTACGGAATTTTTTGATTTTATGATCTATGGATACATTGCTGCTTGTTTTTTTGAACTGTTTTAACTATACTTCAGGCTTCAGACAAAACAATCAATTTGAAGACGTTACCTTGAGCTTTAGGAAATTCTTGTGTTAATTTGTCACTTTTTTTTGATAATTTGTAGACCAGTCAATCAATTGATTAACTGAAAATCAGCAGATAAATTTATTGGTTGGAGCCCTACATTATTGTTTAGTAATATGTAACATGAATCACATCCAGTAATTGAACCAGTGAAAATGTTTAACAAAGCAATTCTTATCACAAGGATCACTTGCTTGGTTGGTTTTTCCAGAACTTTCACCCACATCTCATGGTCTCCCATCAGTGGATGCAGTTTGCTCAGTTGTCATGGAGATGGTTTGAAGATGTTGATGCCTACATTACATGCAGACATTTATGTTAATTGGTCAGTTGCATAGTGCTGTTGGAACTTATGTATATATAAATAGCCCATTCTTTGACTACTGAATATGTTTCTGATTAAAAAAAAAATGCATATGCAGGCATTAATTGTTGCCTAGCAACAGCTGCTGTAAATGGTAGAAGACAGATGAGTTCTGGGAGGACAGACAATAGAAAGAAGTCTTTAAAATCGGTCAGTCTGAGAGTGAAAGAGGTGACATGGTGCTTCAATAAATGGAGATACTTCATTTAAAACACATCTTAGAAACTGTGCTGACTGAGGTTATGAATCCAACTCCTCAATACAAACACCTCTCATAAAAATATGACCTGACAACAAAAATATATTGTCTTTAAAATGTCTAAGGTGTTTAGGGGATAAAGCTGTTTTTTTCCTTAACATAAATGTCTAAATGTTGTTTTAAAGCCTTCTTCACTCTGCCAGGGAGAACATTATGGTGGAGACTACTCTTGAAGTCGTCAAATTTAAATATCCTAGGTCATAAGAAGACACCCTGTGTAATGTATACTCTCACCAGTTTGCCAAAATGCCCAAATTCCCAGAAAAATGGCCTTAATGGTAGCTATGGAAAAGACAGAAACACTATTAGATGTAAGTTATGTCCAGGTAAGAAACACCTGCCCACTCCCAAAATATAGGACCCTGTCTGCTGGATAAAGTGGTCTGGAAATATGGCAGTAATTCATAGTGTACAAGACAGAGGAGAGGACATGTTTATGTCAGTGTAGAAGACGGAAAAGGTGTCAGAGATTTGTGTGTTTCCACGTTTCCCAGCACCGTCTTCCTCTTTTTACTGGTTTCCATTAATTCTCCATGTTAGTGGGAGACGTGACTGTATTGATCTGGCTGTTTAACAACTGCACCCTGTCAGCGTGCCTCAGCCATTACAATACACACAAACAATTAGCCTTCGCCGAAAACACGACTCTATTGTGTATCTGAATGAAACATGCCTCCTTTGTGCCACTAAAATGGTTTTTCTAATTAGTTGCAGGAGTTGAATGACAGCTTTGTCCGATACTGTCACACCGACACGGAGGCTTTTCTGAGTGATATCAACCGCTCCCTGTCATCAAGCAGACGAGTGTTCCAGCAGCTGGAGAGAAAACACGTCTCCGAGCCTCAGGAGAGCGACTGGGACCGAATACAGAGCCAGGTCAGGAACGAGACACGCTGTGCTGAACACAGGAGCCACTTCTATCATTAAACAAGGCCCGTAAAAATATCTAATCCCAGTCTTCTTCTCCCAGCCTTGCCTTTCCCTTGACATGTTAACGCTTGCATGGGGACGACAGCATCACAGCTGCAGTATAGAAAGTACACCTCTCCAGAGGTGATCATTCACTTTATCAAATGAATGGCAGTGGGTAGACTAATAATCCTCTGTGTTTACAAAAAACATGAGCCAGTCTGATAATGCACGGCAGGCTTTTCATCGCCTCGACTGCTGTGGAGGAATTGAAAAGACATTAAGATTTGCTGTTCCATAAGGCTCCATTGTTAGCTTTCATTGCAGCCAGTACCATTTTCCATAGAGGGGGCGGGGTGTGTGCAAAGAAGATGTCTGTTTTTTTTTTCTTCTTTATCTGGTGTGAAAAGGTTGAGCACAAGGCAGGAGTGGCTCAGCCTTGACATGGAGTAGCAAACAGTGAATGTGCTTTCAACACATGCCTTGCACCTTTTCCACGGGTGCAAACTCTATAAAGCGGAGTGCAGCTCGTTATGAAACATTTAACGGCTGGGCACGTTAACCCCTAAATACAGGAAGCTGTCTCTGGTTAATCATTGAAGCTGTGCGTGTGTTGCTTTGTTTTTATAAGGATCACTGATAAACATGTTGTCACTTCGTGTGTGATCAAACCTGTCAGGTAGTCGACAACAGACTTTAGTTGAGAGTTTTTTATAATGACGTAGCAGTGACAGGGATAAAGTCACTGTCATTACAGCCTTATCAACTGCAAAAATTATACACAAAATTACATAACATAGAGAAGTCAGAGAACTTCTATTGTTTCTGACTCAACAGGTTATCCACAGAGGCGTCTGGGACTGCCCCATCTGCCTGACTGCATTGTGCAGCCCGAGCCTCCCAACAGAAGCAGGCACATCCAGCCATCAACAACGTAGATGCACCATGCTTCTGTCCTGTTCCCATGTCTTCCATCAGTGCTGTCTAGAGGCCTTTGAGTCCTTTTCTATAGAGAGCAGACCCTCCTGTCCCCTATGCAGATCTGTCTACCACAAAAAACTCATCTAACCAGGTACACATTTACACAAGACAGCATTTTACATCATCTCATGATGTAATATTTGTAACTTGATGAAAGGAATAGTTCCATGTAAACATGACAGTTTTTGGTTTATCAGGAGTGACAGGCTGTAACTATTTCTTGGCAAACAGCAGCCAATTGCAGTAGCTTCTGCAGTCATGTCAGTGTGAGGTTGGCAGGCAACCTTCAGATAGATAGATAGATAGATAGATAGATAGATAGCTTATTGTCCATCTCAGTGGCTTCTCTCAAAAATCAAAGGTACACACAGACACACGACACAACACATATATGTTTGTGTGCTGGTTAAAGGAGTACTTTACCCACAAAATGACCATTAGGATATCTTTTACTCAATTTGTGAAGAATACTTATACTTACTAATACTTACTATACTTTTCTTACATGCCACAAGGGTAGACGAAGAATCAGAGAACTGTGTAATTCTTGATGAACTGAAGTCATAGGGGGACCTCAGGCTGTGACGATAACTGCATCACTGCAATACCAGGGTCACGTCATCACGTTTTTTTTTTTATTTTACTTTTTTTCTTGGTGCCATTACAATAAACCCATTAAAAAATACACTACTTTGGCTCTGGTGCAGCCCCTCTGTCTGCGGTCATGACTCTCTGGCCACGCTCAATGTCCCGCCAACATCACTGACTGGTTAGACATCACAAGTATTAGCCTATCAACAGTGAAGGCTGCTGTGCAACAGTAAACAGGCAGAATTAGACCTGTATGTTGAACGCAAGACAGCAGATATTACTGGTGGTAAACCGCAAATCCGTGATGATGCGTTACTTTTTCACCATGGTAAGAAAAACTCTCTACTGTCACAGCCCTAGGGTGGCCATGTTTAACAACAGCAAAACTATATCAAAACATCTGTTTACAAACTCCTGCAGTATAATCAAGTCTCATTTATCCAGTCAGATACTCAGTACCTCCCAAATGCATGCATTTTCACTAAATCCTAACTATTTAAAATACTAATGCATAAACAGTCTCACGCACAGATAAGGAGTGCGCCTGGGCAACTCAATGAAATGTACGGGCATAGTTCAAATGCACGTATTTGCCCATGTGCACCGCTTGTATTTAGTAATGTTTTAAAAAGTAAAGTTTTAGCTAAATAGCATGCATTTGGGAAGTACTGAGCATTGTAACTGGATAAATGAGACATGGGTTAAACTGCGGGGGTTGTATGAGAGTTTGTGAACGGCCTGCCTTTAATTAATGAAGACTCTGCCATTTTTGGATTCTTCGTTTACCATGTAAGCATTCCAGAAAAACATTACTTTACGAATTCAATATAACACTGGGTGAGTATTTGATATACAAATAATAATTTTGTGGGAGAGGTATTCCTTTAAACAGCACACAAACAATAATGGGGAAAGAACAGTTTGTGAGTTTACAGAGGCACATGCTGTAATACACATTTTTGGGATTTTTAATTTTAATTATTTTTTCATTTTGGACAGTACCAGGTTAGCTTTTCCCCAGTTTCCAGTCTTTGCTTAGCTACCCTAAATGGGTCCTGGGTCTAGCTCCTGGTGCACAGACAGGAGACTGTATTAATTCTCTCATGTTCCAGGGTTTCACAATGACGAAGGAAAACATGTTCACAAAGCATTTTTCTACTTTTATTTGCAAACACACAAACATCAAAAAAATAACGAAACATACATTTAGCAAACTGAGAAATTGTAAAAAAATACATTCACAAAACATGTACCAAAATTTACATGCAGAGACCAACTGACATACAGACATTACAGAAAAAAAGCTGCTTCTCTTACAGTACAGGCCAACTCTCAACTTCTGAACCCCCCCCACAACACAGAGATGTACTGTAAAGGCAACCAGAAAAGCTTGCTTGAATAGTAAATTACCCTCTCAGTTCTTAACTCAGAAGTTACTGCGAGGAGTGATTGTGATGTTTAATTGTGGGAGTGACACTTCCCTGCTAAGTAACACACAGCCCAGTGTAACCAGTCTGCAGCTGAGTGGATGTGTGCACAACTAGGATGGAGCTGGAAAATAAAATCTACCTCAGGCCATTTTCATTAATGTAGTTCATCCAAATCAAGTCATACATTTCTTTTTACTTTTAATAACTCATCCAACAGTTAAAATGATCTTTTGCCAATTTACAGTAACATCCTTTTTGCTTTGCTTTAACACATTGAGCCATATTGATTTTTCAAAATCATCAGCATGGTCCTTTCGACAATAAAATAGCTTTAGACGTGTACTTAACAAATTAAATTGCACACAACATACCAAACATATTTACCAAATGTTTCTGCCAGTTTATAATTTGGGTAAAACTGTGCTCTTGAAACAACATTTTTCAAAATCAGAAACATGGTCTTGCTTTGGATGGTAAGAGCTGTACAGATCACCTCTTACAAAACATTCTTGGGTCCGATTTGCTTATTTGAGAAGGTGGCTTCAGCGTGAGTTTCGTGATTGAGAGTTACATTTCCTTTAAATCCAGTCTTTGTAACATAGCAACAACCAATGGCAGACAGCTTTGATGTAAAACATTTCCTGTCCTGCGAAACAAACGTTTCAAATGCATATATAAATTAAAATTTCCTCAGTTCCATTTCTTTTGTCATCATGTCACTTTAGTCATCATAAAAACACATGATAATTATATCGCCATAAAAACATCATTACATCACTCAGCCCTATCCTAGCAAGTGCTCAAGTTTTATGGGTTATGAATGAGTCTCAAAATGGAGCCTCTGACTAGATATGAGCTTCGGTGACAACATTCATGGCAGAAAGCAAGGTGTTCGATATATCCAGCTGGCTTTAGACTAGGAACTCGGTGGCGTACAGGGGATCACAGTGGAACTGTCTAGAGACAAACAACGTACATGTACACATATGTACATGTACATAAACGACACAGAACAAGAAACAACCTTAACATCAAGCCTGCGAGACGCTCGTCGTATAAGGCATTTAAGGTGGTTCTGGAGACAAAGAACATCACAGTTCAGAAGATTATGCAGCAATACAACTACATGTAAATGGGGCCTGAGTCACCAAGTCTTTCTACCGGCTGCAAAGTTGCACTCATGCATTCTGTATGTGAAGACCGTTACAGGTTTGCATTCGATTTAGGTGTTATTAAAAAAAAAGTACAACAAAATACAGATTGCTTAGTGAGTCAGACCCTCGGTGGGCTCAACGAGAGCCCAAATATTTACATCCAAATAATGCAAAAGAGGTATGAAACACAACATAATATGTACATGTAAATACAACATTTACAAAAACAACTGACAATTTTTTTCTGTGCCCTGTGAATTTAAATTCTTAATTTTTTTTGGGATGAGCAAAAATGTGATGACATTTTCTTACCATGTGCATAATAAAATTTCAGGAAATACAACCACAGAGTCAGCTCCAAATACACTAAAGCATTCTGCTCTTTGGAACCGAAGTAGACACAACTCCCATTAAGTTTCCCATTTGTAGAGTAGCTCAAGTCTAATCTAGAGCACCTAAAAAAATGTTCTTACCCTACTTCATACAAACTAATGACATCATCGATAAAGTTAAAGCGCACTTGAGTAAAGCCAAATAAAAAAGACAATTGACAGCACGGGTGCTAAAATCTGAGGCCCATCAGGGAAGACAGTGCCGATGCATATAATGTGAGTTGTATTGATGCCGTGCAGGTTTATGTACTGGCTGTGATGAGTGAATAACTGACTTCTTTCATGCTTCACAAAGCACATTTTCTTGTTTTCACATTTTGAGCTTAAACAAATAAAAAAATGATACCTTATCATGCCTGTATCAGTTCACATATCAATCAAAGACCACTCATTAGAGACCACAAACTGCAAATGCTCTGTGTATCACTGACACCGATTACCGTGGACATATCGACATTAAAAAAATGAGTCTAAAGGAATTGTGGTGGTCTATTTATTATACTGAGTAAAGAGGAGGAGCAGGGTGATGGAAAAGAACCCTTTGCCTCTTAGTTAGATGTAAGACTTAGAAAAAACACATAGTTAAACCTGCTATACCCTCTTGATTTTGTCTAGTGCAGTGGTAAAGAGATTGTAGAAGAAAAACAGGTAGGGATGCTGGGGGGTTGGGGAGTGCCCCTGAAGCAAGAGATGGGTGGTTTAAAGTCACAGTCGCGGTTGAGGTCAACATCAAGGTCACTGCAGTGATGCCAGTCTATTTCACTCCTCAGTCTCATCCCTGGCTCTGTCCCAGCTTCCATCCGAGACGCAGAGGATGGAATGTCACGAAGCTAAATTGCTCTCTCAGCCTCCATTTGCGGCATCCGTCAGACACTGCCTGGGTTTATTAAGTTCCTTCCAATCCCTTTCACCTTTCAGCAGTCAGGCAGTACTGTCGAAATCTCCCTTTGGCTGTGCTAAGGTGTGTGTGTGTCTATGTGTGTGTACGTGTGTGTCTGTGTGTTGATCTATCATCCCTTTCACAGAGTTTTCTGATGCCCGTTGGCCGAGAGCTTCCCAGATTCAGGGTCCGTGGGGCTGTTTGACAGTTGCAATTTATCCAGACCTGGGCAGCGGGAGATAAGGGAAAGAAATCTCATTAAAAAGCCTCAGACTTTCACTTAGACAGAGGTATTGATGTGCTTTTTTCCCCCTCAGTGCCTCTGTCTGACATTTTCTAACCCTATCCCACCCTGTGTATCAAACATCCAGGGCCTGTCACCACAAGCCTTTGAGACTAGCCCCATCCTCTGTCACATGTCAGTCCCGCAGCACACTGGATCTCTCTGCAATTTCTTCCATTTTGTCACTCCAGGTTGTGCTGTCTGAGAGAAATAAACACTATCTCCCTCCAAAGCCACAGAGTAGGTTGGTGCTGTCAGTGTTTCAGACCAAATCTTTGTGGATGCAAAATTGGGATGAAATTGAGAAGTCAAAATGTTACTACGAAACAGACTGCTTTATATTCTACAGTGTATTCA